GATCCATTGAGGACTACATGTTGAGTGTGGTTGGTCGGCCAGTTATGAATCCATCTGGTGGTGATGCTGGCTAACCCACAGATACCTTGAAGGTCTTCTAATCCAGCCCCCTTTTCAAGCAGGAGGCCATACCATTCCAGAATATCCTTCCATAAACCCCCAGCCAGCATAGGCAAAGCTGAAGAATGATGGGACTGAAGTCCAATAAATCTGGGGAGCTTCACCTTGGAGAAATCATAGGAGGGAAATCCAGGAGAAGCAACCTAGAACTAAGGAGAAATTTCTTAACAGTGAGAACGGAGCAGTTGTGGGTCCTCCATCACTGGAAGTGTTTAAGAAGAGATTGGACAGCCACTTGTCTGGAATGATATAAGGTCTCCTTGCTTGAGCAGGGGTTGGACTAGAAGACCTCCAAGATCCCTTCCAACTCTATTATTCTGTTATTCAGATGAAAGAAAAGTATCAAGAAGAGGAACTACATGTTCAGATTTACCTGCTTGCTTCCCTGTTTGTTTTAATATAATTTCAAGATTGAGCAGTTACAGTACATGGAAATGTTGCTTGATGCAATGAAATCTACTTCTTGAAGAACAAACAACATTATTTAAACTTTCTTTCCCCCAAACATGCTTTCATTGTAAATTTTCCCTTTGAAGAAATGCCAGTCATTGGGAACCTGAATGGAACATATCCTGATTATTACCCACTTTAGTTTCCGGTTCCAAATATTTATTTTCACACACACACCCCAAGTCCCCAAGTCCTTTCACTACAGAAGATACGTGCAAGAAAGAAATTGCAATCAAGTTGGGAATAATTTGTATGTGGCCTCAAACGAGACTAAGAACTTGTTTCAGACAAGAGCCTGGAAAGTTCTCTTGTAGGGCAGGAGAGCAGATGCAGTACTCACTGTATCCTTAACTAATGATTAACATTAATTCAATTTACACCCCACTTTTGAAACCAGAGCAAGGATTTTCAAAGTAGTAGATGGCTCTGAAAGTAAAACATAAATTTAAACCCAGTTGAAAGACCCCACAGTCTGATACAGACCACCTATAATTATTGTAATATTCAATTTTAGTTATGAAATGGTTATTGGATTGTGATTGGATGAGAATAAAAGTTATTCCTCACCTTTTGGGTTTTGCTGTGTACATGGCTCCAAGGATCTGATGAGAAACAGCACACATGATTAGGACTTACATTAAATAGCAAGTGTAGTTCATTGAATGTATGAGTCCTAGTTTGCAAAGAAGAAGAAGAATAGCAATAGCAATAGCAGTTAGACTTATATACCGCTTCATAGGGCTTTCAGCCCTCTCTAAGCNAGCACGATGTTTTCGTCGCGCTGTGATGATGTCACGTACGCGCTTTCGTCGAGCGCGCTTTTGTCTACCGCGGTTTTGTGGTGGAACCGTTGTGACTACAACTCCCACGATCTCCAATCCAAAGCCAGATTGGGAGATCTACCATTTACTGGAATCCCGCAGCAACCCTTCTTGGAAAATATATCCCATCATTTCCCTATATTAGCTTAGCCATGCATTGACTTTGGAGGATGCATTGAACTACAAGCTAACCACATGGGCAATATATATGCAACATGAGTCACAACATCGCGAACACTACCATGTACTCTTGTGACATACTGCATATTCTTTTTCTAGCAGGTATATGCCTTCCTTCTCAGACTCACCTCTCCCAGGTCCAGGATGAAGCAATCACCCGTATTAAAACTGGTCCAGCTCAGTTCTCTTTCCACAGCCCGGATATTCTTTTTTCCTTTCACTTGATAGAGTTGGTGCCTTGAGCTTTGCTCATGGTTGGCTTGGGTTCTGGTAAAGGCCGACTCCACACCACCTTCCTATAGACCATAAACTGGGGTTGAGAAAGGGCTACAGAGGCTAGAATTTGAAGATAAGGGTCAAGAAAGTCTATTTGGGACTATAGGAGCCCTGGTAGCATAGTGGTTAAATGCAGTATTGCAAGCACACTCTGCCTGGAGTTTGTTCCTGACAGAGCTCAAGGTTGACTCAGTTTTCCATCCTTCCGAGGTCAGTAATATGGGGACCCAGATTGTTGGGGACAATATGCTGACATTGTAAACCACTCAGAGAATGTTGCAAAGCACTATGGGGTGGTATATAAGTCGAAGGGCTATTGCTATTGGTATCATCAGGACATCAAGGGGAAAACTAGTGCTACAGAATGAGCAAAGTGTTAAAGAGCAGTGAAGATGGTGGTTAGCTGTAATCTACAGCTTTGAATGTGTGCCTTATCTGCTTAGAAACTAACAAAAAATAAATCAAATGCAAGGGTGGCTGTGAGTGATAGAAACCTTTTAGGATTTTTGACTGTTGTGTCAGGCGCAAGGAACCAGAACGAGTTCGTGAGTAGATCAAACTAGTTTTATTACTGTTGTTTTCTCCAATTTACAAGAGAAGAAAAAACTAAGCTAAACTTGGAGGAAATGATGGAAAAGAAATTGAACGAAAATAAAATAAATAGGGAACAGATTCCCAAGAAGTAAAAAAAAGGGAAGATGTCAGCTAACTGGACTCACCTGGGCCAACATGAGCCTGATGGGGATTGAAGGAGATGTTGGTCTCCTACTAGCTCCACAGCATAACTTTGTATGAGTGTAATTACAGGTACAAATGTTTAACTAAGGGAAAGTTCTTAATGTTTAGCAACAGTGAAAGAGGGTAAGGTCTATAACTGGAAAAACGAGTCTCCTTTCACCTGGTATTTGATGCCGTGGGGAAAGTACTCCATGAAGACATCTGATTCATTCCCCTGAACTTCCCGATACTGAATTGGCTTCTCTTTTGGGATGGAGTTGAGGTGAGTGGAGAGCAAAGCACATGCTCCCTGCTCATCCCTGGAGGAGTTTTGACCTGAGACAAAGAGAGAGAGCATTACTTTGCAAGGAAGTAACCCAACTCCACCCAGCCCCTAGCCAGCTCCAGCTACCTCAAAGAGGGTTTTCTGTGTGTCAGAATCTTACATCCTACATTAAAACCCATTTTGGAGGTAATCAGAAGCCACTTCTGACAAGTTTTCATTCTTGCTAGGATATAGGGTTGCGTTGTATTGCAAGTTGCATGATCACAACACTCAGTTCAAGAAATTGGCCTTGAAGCAGGTAGAAATTGGCCTTGAAGCAGGTATCAATGGCTTACAAAACATACTAAGCCTTATTATGGTTTCTTTAACATTGGTTGAGTATGTTGTGTGACCTCAGCTCTTAAGATCTGTGAAGCACATATTGTATGAATCCAGTCAAATAGGGTTTATTCAGCAATAAGCTATAGAAATGCATCATCCTCAGATAGAACTTGTTGATTTAAGGATTATTTTGACCCTTTGCTTACCAATCCAAATGTGCAGGTTGGAATGCTCATCTGGGCCATTATAAAGGACAAGGTATGAATCCCCAGAATAGAATATGCCTTTCATCTCATCTGGAACAGGAACTGGCTTCATTTTCTCCACACGCCAGATGTGCAGTCCTGGTTCTTTCGCCGAAACATCAAAGGCAGAGCCACTACCAAACAGAAGGTTGACATTTATTGAATTGGAAGAAAGAAAACAGGACAAATAGATATCTAGAAAAGGAACCAAGAATCAAGAGGGTGGGATGAAAAAACGTTGCAGTGCATTTGACTTCAATTTTAAAATAACAGAATAACAGAGTTGGAAGAACAGAACAGAACAGAGCAGAATAGAACAGAACAGAACAGAACAGAACAGAATAGAATAACAGAGAGAAGGGACCTTGGAGATCTTCTAGTCCAACCCCCTACTCAGGCAGGAAACCGTACATCACTTCAGACAATTTTTTACATCATGTCAATCAAAACTGAATGCAGTATTCCAAGTGTGGCCTTATCAAGGCGTTATAAAGTGGTATTAACACTTCACATGATTTTGATTCTATCATGCAGCCCAGAACTGTGTTGGCTTTTTTGGCAGCTTCTGCACCCGGCTGGCTCCTATTTAAGTGATTGTCCACTAGGACTCCAAGATCCCTCTCACAGTTGCTACTATTGAGCAAGGTACCTCATATTCTGTAATGTGCATTTTATTTTTCTTGCCTAAATGTAGAACCTTACTTTTTTTCACCATTGAATTTCATTTTGTTAGATAG